TGATTCATAGATTTTAGCTAGAATCTATATTAATAATGATTGGTCTTGGACAATATATGCCTCATATTCATCAGAGACATTATTTTCTAGCCAATCTTGAGCAGTCTTGAAATTCAACAAAGTTTAGGGATTCACCACAAGTGTATGCATTTTTTATGTAAGAATCATCCCGTCCACCTATTGATTCCGTAAGAGATAATTTTTTTCCTGTAGTTTGATTGAGAGATTCATCTCAAACAAATTATTCGAGTTCAAGGTAGTAAAGATTAAAGATATGCCTTATAATTGAGATGGGTCTTTGGTGAAGGAATGCAGAATTTATGAGTTGATATAGTTGCATCAAAGTGAGAAGCATGGATTATTTTGAGAAGAACTATAGATGATTTTGGATAGATAAAAACACCATTAATACTTTGATTTGAAAATTGAAGAAGCAAATATTGATTCTGAGATTAAGGAAGTATGGATGAATCAAAATTTTTGGGGAAGTTTTTCACTTGGGAGTATTGAACATTGCGAGACTTTCCTTTCTAGAGAAACACGGAAGTATGGATGAATCAAAATTTTTGGGGAAGTTTTTCACTTGGGAGTATTGAACATTGCGAGACTTTCCTTTCTAGAGAAACACCTTTGTGAGAGACACACCACATATTCACTCGAAACCTTAAGGTTATAGGTGTATGGGTTCTCCCACTTGTAAATTCCCAAGTCTCCACATTTCTATACAATGTGGGACTATTACCCATACTACTCACACTTGTTATACTTAACATTCTTCCTCAAGTGTGAGTATATTCGCAATGCTTCCACAATTCCCCCTTAAGCGAAAGCACTTTTCATCTACATACATTTTTATCATCGTTGACACTCTTCAATGGGATACTCAACCCACCACCTGTGGGGATACTTTTGATAAAAGTGAATTGGTTCTTCACTCGAACCAAAGGCTCATGATACCATTGTTGGGGGAGTTTTTTCAACTAGGGAGCATTGAACATTGTGGGAATTTCCTTTTCTAGAGCAACACCTTTGTGAGAGATACACCATATATTCATCCAAAACCTTCAAGTTATAGGTGTATGAGTTCTCCCACTTATAAATGCTCAACTCTCCACATTCCTATCCAATGCGAGACTATTACTCATACTACTCACACTTGTTATACTTAACAAAAAACACTTTTTATACCATGTTAAAATGAAAATGCTTTCATTCTCTATATATTGTTTTCAAACTTCCTTTTCACTTTACAATAATAATACAATTTATATTAGTGCAATTGATAGAAGTCTAACTGCTAAAAAAAGTCTAACAAAGGTTAATCTACTTTCTTAACTGATACTAACAAGACCTAACTTTCTTTAACAATCTATTTAGAATCCATAAGTACTAACTTTGTTAGTTTGATCTATGAAGCTTGCTTGGTCTTTTGGCTTTAATTTCTAACATATTAAAAACAGATATATCATTTTCAACCAAGATAAAGATTATTGACATTTGTTGAAAATATACATATTGAAGGAGACTCACGTCGCCTAGTATTGTAAAGGAAAAGGAATACCAAGATTTTACACACACACACATACGCACACACACATGCACACACACACACACTCACACGCACACGCACACACACACACATACATGTAATTTTTGTTTTATGATGGACCTGTCATAAGCCTTTGAAACTTGTATTTGGTTTCTTTTTCTCTTATAATCTTTTGTTAGCGTATTGTAAAATGTAGTAAGATATTTTCTTTGGAGAGTGTAGGTGTACTCGAGGGTGTATAGGTGATTGAGTGTAGTTTATGTGTTGTAAAAAATTTCACATTGTACCTTGGTTGTCAGTTTACAACGACCATTGTGTTTTCTCTTTTTTTGGGGTTATCATGTTATGCTCTTGTGTTATGATTGTGTTCTTTATTTTCTCTATGTTAATCTTTTACAACAACTAGCATCATAGTTTTTGGGTTTGATCCATGGATAGGAGTTCCTAGAATGCTTTGTGGTTGCAGTTTTGTCTCATGATCCACATCAGAAAATACTAAAGGTGTTGTTGTGATAGTGTTGTTGACCTAAATAAAAAATATGTTGCGAAGAGAAAAATGATGGAAGATTCATTTTTACACGTGGAAAATACAAGTTAAGAATGTGTTGATACAATCAAGATTGCACAAGAGGTTGATTAGTACATGGGCATTTATTGACATTAATGCAATGTGTTTTTCCAAATTATGTCAATGATTAAAGAACTTTTTATCAACATGGAAGTTGCACCATAAGTTTTTCAACTTGATTGGCATGTGAAAATTCTTAAAGTAGTTTACCATCAAGTGATTATGATATTTGTGGTGGAGTATGATAATTGTTTTGAACTATGATTGTCGATAAATACAGTGTAAAAATTCTTCGAGTGATTTAACTTAAAGTGATTATACTCTTTAGGATAGAATATGATTTTTAATATGGTTTTCGATAAAGACAATGTGAAGTTTTTTGAAGAGGTTTAGCTACAAGTGAATTTATTATTTATGGTGAAATATGATAGTTTTTTTTAATTTTAAGGGTCAGTAAAGACATTATTTGTGGTGAAATGTGATAGTTCTTTTGAATTTTAAGGATAAGTAAAGACAATATGAAAATTCAATGGTATAACTTCAATTGACTATACTTATTGTGGTGGGGTATGTTTTGTTATAAGTTGCACAAATAAGATGTATTTTTAGTTTGATTTTGATTTTTTTTTCTTTTCTCTTATACTTCAATGTTAGAATATGTAGTTAGATGTTTGACATGGAGAGTCTATGTGAAGCGAAGATTGTGAGATGATTGATAATACTATATGTGTTAGTAATATTTTTTACTTAATATTATTCTTTAATTTTCATTTGAAAACAAATGTTATTTTTCTTCTATTTTAGATTCTCAAAAGAATTTAATTGAAATATACTGTTGTAATTTTTTTTTTACACATACACAGATACTTGAACAGAAACATTAGATATTAGAAAGATTTTGACTTTTATTTTAATCGTCCATAAAATAATATAAACGAATGATGACTATGAATCGATTGTGTAAATTTTTTTACACTGAAAATACATAATAATTAATCTCTTCTCAAAATTATGGTATTACGTTATGATTTTCCTCTTTACTTTTTCTATATCGATTTTTTCCAACACCTGACTCATCGTTTTTAATGTGGCCCCTGCCCTTCAAACTCAGAACTTTATTAGCATATCCAAATTCATTTTCATTTGGATAAATGTAAAGTTGGTTCATAATTATTTCATTAAAATTAAAATTAGTCCAATTAAACTGAAGGTTCAGGTCTAAATTAAAAATAAACTAATTTTTTTAAAAGAAATACTATTATAATAATTAAAAATAATACATTAAATATATAATTATATATAATTATATATAATAAATAAATAAAATAAATTATAATTATTTTGACTTTATTCTATCTTATTTTTTGAATATATTGAGTTTTTATCATAGTATTTTTTTTTAAAAAATTTTGAATTTTTTTAAAATATTTTATTATATTTATTAATATTAATATATATAAAATTGGATTTTTAAAATTTTAGGGTCTTTCAAAATTTAGAGCCTTGTGTTATAGAGCTTACTCCTTGTGTACAAGGTCTGAGGCCTAATTAAAACGACTATATTGAATAAGTTATATATTGAATTTATTTAATAAGTTAGTCCAAATAATTTAAAATTTATAGTTTTTTCTTCTCAATTTTACTATGTTATCTTAATTGTAAAATAAAAAATAATTAAACATATCTTTATATATTATTTACTAATTTATTATATTAATTAATCAATTATCTTCTTTCTTTATCGAATAAATAAACGGAATGCTTTTAATCATATACATGGTTTCTATTTTATATATATATATATATATATATATATATATATATATATATATATATATATATATATATATATATATATATATATATATATATATATATATATATATATATATATATATATATATATATATATATATATATATATATATATATATATATATATATATATATATATATATATATATATATATATATATATATATATATATATATATATATATATATATATATATATATATATATATATATATATATATATATATATATATATATATATATATATATATATATATATATATATAACACTCTCTCAAATTGTTTCATTAATTGTTTTTATTTTTAAGAATTATTTTATATTTTCAACTTTATCAATTGATTTTTTATTAATATATCTCTAATTAATTTACATCTTTCTTTATAATCTTTAATGAATACTCTAATTTAATATTTATTCACTATATTTTTTAAATTTTAAATTTTTAAAATAAATATCAACTATAATTTATTTTATAAAAAACTTTTTTTTTTTTAATTTTCCTTATTTATTCAAAAAAAGACCTTATATTTAAGGGCGACTTTCTCAAGTCGCCTGCCTTTAAAATAATATACAAGGCTGCTCAAATTAGAATAACTCCTAAACATATATATTTTAAAAAACTTTATACTTATTTAATTTTATTTTGTTGAGGAGTTAACAACTAAGTTGACATACAATGATGTAAAGAGGCCCCTACTAATAATATATAAAAATGAAACCCCACATGGCATAAGCACCTATCACTCTTCACATGCCCATGTTCCCTTTTTCTCTTCCTTTAACCCAACGCACCTCATTTCTCTCTCTCTCAATTCCACATCTTCTCCATTCCTGTCCCACCTTTGTCCTCTATATGTAGGGACATATTGCTTTCATCTTTGTTACTCCTTCTACCGACACCTTTCCTTGTCTTTCTCCATTATTCATTCAATACTAACATTATTTAATGCACCTCTCCTTTATCATCTTCTATCTTCTTATATAAAATTAACCTTTCATACTTGCATTTGCATCTCATCTCATCTCATCTCACATACATCTTACTTTACTACAAGCCTTTTTGAAAGATGGAAAACAGTGTTGCATATGAGAATGATCTTAACATGAAGGATACTGAGTTAAGACTGGGACTTCCAGGAACAGAAGAAAATGAGAATGAAAAAGTACTATCTGTTAAAGTTTCCAACAAAAGATCATTGGTTGACACCTCTAAGGACAGTGCCGGTGGTTCAAAAGCCTCTGAATCTGATGCAGCACCTCCTTCTAAGTAGGTTTAATCATTATCATGTTTCTATATTTTGGAATCTGAAATTTTGAGTTTTTGGTTAATGATAATTTTGTTTTGATATTATAGGGCAAAAATAGTGGGGTGGCCACCAATAAGATCTTACAGGAAGAACAGTTTGCAAGAGGCTGATGCTTCTGGGATTTATATAAAAGTGAGTTTGGATGGAGCTCCTTACCTTAGAAAGATTGATTTGAGAATCTATGGAGGCTATGCACAGCTTCTCAAAGCTTTGGAAAACATGTTCAAGTTAACTATTGGTGACTATTCAGAAAAAGAAGGTTATAAAGGATCTGAATACGAACCTACTTATGAAGATAAAGATGGTGATTGGATGTTAGTTGGAGATGTTCCATGGAAGTAAGTACTCTTTTTCTCTCTATCTGTGATCTGATTTATCTATAAACTGAATGAAAGAAATCTGACAGAAGAACTATACTTTTATTTTTGCAGTATGTTTGTGACATCTTGCAAAAGACTAAGAATCATGAAAGGAACAGAAGCTAGAGGTGTTTGAGAAACAAGATAGTTGGTATGAAAAGTGTTATGGTGTGAAGGGAAGAAAAAAACAAACAACCTTACAGCTTGTGTTTTCGGAAGAACTAATGAGTTTTTGAATCACTGTGGTGTATGCTATGCTATGTGTTATCATGAGCATGCCTATCTGAAGTTATGCTCTAAGGAAGGGAAATGGAAGATACAGTGCAGTTTCTTAGTTTCCTCAAACATTTAGCATCCATGGAGGGATGCTGTTATTTCCACTGACTTGTTTTTCATGTTTCATATGAGACATCTCAGAGATTTGCTTCAAATGAAAAGATATTTTAGTATAGTATTGTTTAATTATCCATGGTTTTTTCTTGTATATTGATACAAGATTACAGTGTAATATACCAAGTGTTGTACAAATTTCTTTTTATTGAATGGACTAAAAATTAAGCATGTGAATGACTCTAACTTTCATTTTTATTTAATTTGTTGGATCATATCACATATCAAATATCATTATTCTGCAAAAATCATAATCTAAAAATAATATATCATAAAAAAATTTAAATATCAAGATTTAAAACAATATAGTTGGTAATAATGATTAAAAAAATTGTGTTGAGGAAAGAAATGATGGAATAATAGACTTGTTAGCAAAATGGATCAATTTGTCAACAGCCACCACCATCAAGAAAACCCCATTGCTCCTTAAATGTTCTAAATCTTATGAAAAAAATTGTAATTTAAATTGTGTGTATCTTATTACAGAAGACTAGAGGTATATCTGGTGACCACCTACCCGTTTTTGATATTTTTGAAGGCAATAACTTGTTGTAACTAGGTACAAGTTTAATGTAACTGGTTATAGGGTTGGAAAATATGTCTTTCTTTTAGTTGGTTAGCCGTAGTTTTGTATATTGTTGTATATACACTTTACATTGGGTTGTTAATGATAGACGACCATTTTTATTCTAATTCTTTTTTATTCTATCACTCTCTCCATTATTCGTTTGTTTATCATTTTACATTGTGATTGGAGTTTTAATCCAATATTTTACAAAAATGTTTTTATCATTAATAAACGTATTTCTGTAAATCTTTTAATTCTCGACGCGAAAAATTATGATAAGTGGTGCAAACAGATGAAGGCGTTGTTTGGTTATCAAGGTGTTCTTGAAGTGATCAAGAATAATGTTAATCCACTAGTAGAAGGAGCAACAATTGCACAAAGGATTACACATAAGGAAGAGAAGACGAAAGATTTCAAAGCTTTGTATCTCATTGAGCAATGTGTTGATTCTGATAACTTTGGGAAGGTTGGTGATTGCACATCCTCAAAAGAAACTTGAGAAATCTTGGAGAAAAGTTATGCAGGAGCTGATAAGGAAAAAATGTTGAGGTTACAAACTCACAAGAGGCATTTGAAATTAATTCAAATGGAAGAGAAGGAAATCGTTAGTGGATTTACTACCAGAATCACAAGAATAATGAATCAAGTGAAAGCATGTGGGGAGACAATCATTGAGCAGTATGTAGTTGGTAAAATCTTAAGATCTTTAACATCAAGATTCGATAATGTAGTGGTTGCGATTGAAGAGTTTAGGTATCTTTAAACCATGAGCATAAGCAGAAAATGGAATAGAGGAACGTTGACAAAGCAAAAGCTGAAATTGCTTTGCAGACCCGTTTCTTTGAAAAAGACAAGAAAATGAAGGGAAAATGGTTCATGAATAAAGGTAGAGAAAACTATCACAACAATGGTGGAAGAGACTCTCAAAATTCCAACAATTCAACATTTCAAAATGGTGAAAGCAACTACAACAAAGGTGATGGATTAAGTAATTACAATGGTGGCAACAATAAAGGAAGATAAGGGTGAAGGAAAGATGAGAGGAGCAACGTCTAATGCTACAATTGTCAAAAACTTGGACACTTTGCTTGTGAATATAATTCCAACAAGAATGATCCATAAGAAGTTGAAGCAAAGTTCGCAAGGCAAGAAGATGATGAAAGTACACTGTTAATGGTGATTGCTGAAGTAGCACAAGAAAAGGCATTTGTAACCAGTTACAAGCATAGCGTAACCGGTTAGCCTTAATTGAAAACGTGATGGTGACTACGCAAGAAGATGCAGAATGTAGTGATCATTGGTATCTTGTTTTCGGGTGTTCAACCCATATGACGGGAAGGAAGGATTGATTTGTATGTAAAAAGAGAGCGTTGAAAAACAAGGTGAAATTCACATATGAAAGCACACTAGTAGCAGAGGGTATTGGCGATGTATCAATCAAGAGACAGAATGGTGAGCATTCTTTGATTAAAGAAGTGTTGTATATTCCTGGAATCAAGTGTAATATTTTAAGAGTATGTTAATTGCTTGAAAGGAATTACAAGATTCACATGAAAAACAAACTGTTGATAGTTATGAAGGAAAATGGGAGTTTCATCCTAAAGGCCCATATGGCTCAAAACATATTTTTCAAAGTTGAATTGAAAGTAATGGGGCATAGGTGTCTTACAACAGTTGCTATTATGGAAGAATGGATATGGCTCTATAGGATTGGGCATTGGAATTTCAAGGATCTCAATGCTATGAAGAAAAATAACATGGTTATGGGGGTTACCATTGGTCAATATGTCAACTGAAGTTTGTGAAAAATGTGTGCAGGCCAATTAACACCGAGGAAGCTTTAGCAAAGATACAGGATAAAGAACCAAGTGTCCTCTTGAGGGGGTGTATTCAGATGTTTGTGGATCGATGCAAGTTGACTCAATTGGAGGTAATATGTACTTTGTCACTTCCATTGATGATTTTAGTAGAAAGTTGTGGACTTACTTGATCAAAAGAAAATATGAGGTGTTGGAAGCCTTCAAGAAGTTCAAATCCATGGTGGAAAGACAAAGTGATCACAAAATCAAAACTCTAAAAACAGATGGTGGAGGTGAATATGTCTCAAATGACTTTGGAAAATTTTGTGATTAAGAGGTATTGTTCATGAGGTAGTGACACCTTATACGTCTCAACAAAATGGAGTCGGTGAGAAGCATGTTGAAAGGGAACAAATTGCCAAACTATTTATGGGGAGCAGCAGTTTCCACAACTGCGTATTTGTTGAATAAGTGTCCAAGAAAGAAGCTAAAAAATATTACACCCAAATAATCATCGTCTGGATTCGATCCAAATATGATTCACTTGAAGGTATTTGGTTCAGTTGTGTATAAACATGTTCCGAATCAGCATCAAAAGAATCTAGATGACAAGAGAAAAGGATACTTGTTGAGTATCACTCTACGGGTGGCTACAAAATCTATGACATAATTAACAAAAGAATCGTAATCAGTAAGAGGTGATTTTTGATGAATTAAGAGAAAATCTCAACAAAATGGAGTCGCTGAGAGGAAGAATCGTAAACATCTCATGATGTTGGTTGGTATCGCTTACGCCACTACCTTAATTAAAACTTCCTTACCTGCCCTAAAGAGAAATTTCTCCTTCCACCCTTTCATCTTCTTTCACACACAGTCAATGACAAAAGATAAAATCTCCTTCTTGGATCTTCCAAATAATACTGGGAGTCCTAAGTACCTAGAATGAGACAACACAGTCTTAGTACCCATCCTGTTACGGATCATATCTTTACCTTCATCAAGAACATTTTGACTGAAAGAAGCCTCTGATTTATCCAAAATGACCACTTGTACTAAAGATGCTTGGTAGTTATAGAGGATCCCCATGATACAGTCAACTTATTTGGAGTTACTCGGGAAAAAAGAAGGTTGTCGTCTGCGAAGAACAGATGGGAGATTGTAGGTGCCTTTCTTGCCACTTGAATACCATGAATTTTGTTACTTCTAGTCACCTTTTTATCATCCTTGAGAGCACATCTACACAAAGAATAAATAGGTAAGGTAAGAGAGGGTCTCCTTACTAGAGTCCCTTCTCTAGATAAAAACTAGAGCGAGGTTGACCATTAAGGAGGATCTGGTAGGAGACAGTAGATATACAACGTTTAATAAGTGTCACCAAGGAATATAGAAATCCCATAGCCTCCAACACACCCACCACAAAGTGCCGCTCAAATATAACGTAGGCCTTCAACATATCTAACTTTAAAGCCATGACACATTTTTTTCCATTCTTCTTATTTTTCATCTAATGGAAACACTTCATCAAAATGAGAGCATTGTTTGTGATTACCCATCCTTTTATAAAAGTACTTTGTTCCTCATCAATTATCTCTGAAAGAAGATGTTTGATCCTATTGGCAATTGTTTTAGTCAGAAGCTTCATGACCATATTATAGAGGCTAATGGGTCTGAATTCTTTCGGAGTCTTTGGGGTATGATATTTAGGGATCAGGGTGATGAAATTTTTGTTCATTTCTAAAGGATCGTGAAGTTTATTAAAGATTCCAAGAAACATATCCTACACTTCCCTTCCACTTAGTTTTCCTTGAACCACTTCACACGTTTCTTTTATGTTTTACAGAGATGATGTTAAGAAAATATTAGTAAAATAATTCTAAATTAACCTCTCACAGTTTCTTTCACCTCTCCACCATCGGCCATCTTCGTCTCTGAGCTTTTTAATGGTGTTAGATTTCCTTCTTTGTTCTTTTTTACCATGAAAAAACTTGGTGTTGTGGTCCTCGTCCTTAAGCCAAACCGCCTTACTCCTTTGTCTCCATATTATCTCTTCAGATTTCAAGAGATTGTTTCTTTTTTCGTTCGATACCCTTGTAAGTCTTTATGTCCTCCTCACTTGACGACCATCAGTTCTCACTTTCTAACAACTACTCAATCCTATTAATATCAGCCTTCACCGCCCCTATCTTATACTCTTTAAAAACCTCTCCTAGCGAGCTCGTTCCTTTCACCTTAATGTAGGCATGAATTATAGAACTTTGCCATGTTCTCATTACCCTCTCCTCACATCTATCATCTCTGGACCAAGCATCCTCAAACCTGAAAATATACTTCCTCTTTGTATCCTCCTTCTTTGAATCTGCTTCTAAAACAATGCGAGTA